AAAAAAGAAAAAAGAAAAAAGAAAAAAGAAAAGAAAAAAAAAAAAAAAGAAAAGAAAAAAAAAAAGAAAAAAAAAAAAGAAGAAAAAAAGAAAAAAAAAAAAAAAAAAAAAAAAAAAAAAAAAAAAGAAGGAGGAGAGGCTTGTTCCCATCAATGCCGGACTCAGGACGGGCGGATGCACTTCAAATTTCAGCGTTAAAACTTTAAAACAGTAAAACAACAAAAAAAAAGGAGTTCCGATTGCAGCTTTGAGAATGGCTTGGGACACACTGGCAATGCGAACCGTTTCGTTTGGGACCATGCAGCGAACACGCCTTGAGAACACACTGGTAACGCCATTAGGCACGATCACCAAAAAACCATTGACGCCAGTCGTAATTAATTATGATATTTTTTTTGTCGACAACTGTGTTGGGAAGGCCCTGGGATTAAATTGGGACCATATGGGTAGGACCACACTGGGAATTGGTTACAACTTAGGAACGGGCTGGGAATGGGCTGGACCAGCCCCTGGACCAGGTTCTTAACAGACTGGGAACACACTGGGATGAGGCTAGACATGCGGCAGGGATGGGATTGGAACAGGCTGGGAACCGATTGGGACCACGGTGGGAACAGGCTGGAACAGGCGAGACACACTGTGGGGAAATGGGATGAGAAGAGGTTCGGAACAGGCTTGGAACAGGCTTGGAATGGGCTGGGAGAAGAACGAGCCAAGAGGAGAGCCAGGGGTTGCAGAGACGGTCTTTTGCATCCGCTCAACCGTCGTTTCCCCCGGATACAACGCCCACTGGCAGTCATTCTAGCTGAATTTGGGGCAACTTTCAGTCTGGATACGGCGAAAATGTTGGTCCAATTCTATTCAGGGGAAGACGCTAGTAGCAAATGAGGACATCAGGCAGTGGAGAATCCGACTGAGAGGAGCAAAGTGAAGACTCTGAGATGACTGTGGACAATGGTGAGTAGAAGCAATAAATGCTAGGAACAGGCTATCAACAACAGCCTTGGAACAAGCTCCAAATGGTCCCCAGCAGGCTCGAAACAGGCTCGAAACAGGCCCGGCACAGTCTTGGAATGACTCAAACCAAAAGCTCAGAAAGGGCTGGCTGGGAACAGGGTGACGGGGGACCATGCCGCTAGGGGGAACATGCTGCTAGGAACCGCTAATGGCCAATTATAGGTGGTGGTGACATTTTTTTGGCGAAGTTTTCACCGGAACTGCCATATTTCCCTGAATTTTTTGCTTTTTTTTCCTTCTGTTTTTCGCATTGCGTGATATGTATGCGCTTTAGCGTATATCTGTATTGAATTTCACAGTTTTGAGTCTTTTTTGACGTATTTGGACCAGTAATCATGGCAGTAAAGAAAACGTTGGCAAGAACACCGAATTCGGACAAAAAAACTTGGCGAACTCTGAAAAAAGCTACTACGAGTCGCCGGGTCGGGTTTGTATTATGAGCCTGTGTTGTTTGTTTTCGCAAAATTTTCGACGACATTGCTAAGCTTGTGTTATATGGCGAAAAGCCTCGAATTTGGGGTCTTCCATTAACCATCTCTCTCAGGAACAGGAGGTTGGGAATGGGCTTGGAGCCAGCTTGTGGGAACATGCTCAGCACAGGCTCGAAATGGTCACCAGCAGGCTGGGAACAGGGTCGGCACAGGCAGGGAATGGCTGGTAGCAAGCTGAGAAAGGGCTAGAAAAATGCTGGGAACAGGGTCCCCGTGATGGGAACATGGTGCTAGGGGGAGAACACGCCAGGAGCGGTGGGTTGGGCATATGGGCTACGCTCGAAACAGACTCAAAATGGTCACCCGCAGCCTTGGACCGGACTGGGAAAGGGCTGGGAACATGCTGGGAACAGGGTCACCGTGATGGGAACATGCTGCTAGGGGGAACATGCCAGGAACAGGGAGGGGGGTGTGGGTGGGAATGAGCTTTGAGCAGGCTGAGAGCAGGTTGGACGCTTTCGTCTGAGGATGAAGAAATGGAACAAGACAGAACTCCTTCAGATTGAAGAAATTGAAATGAAAAAAAGAATAGGACAAGCTCCAGTGCACCATCATGACTCCTTTGCGTTGCAGGTGCGTCTGAACGGGGCAGCCACATTTATTGGGAAAATTGGCGTTACTGCTGCATCAATCGTTTTTGTAATGCTCATTATCCGGTAAGCTGACTGGGCTGCATTTGTGAATCTCTCTCTCTCTCTCTCTCTCTCTCTCTCTCTCTCTCTCTCTCTCTCTCTCTCTCTCTCTCTCTCT